AGAGGCCCTGAAATATGGGGGTGGTTAGTTTCTATGGGCTGGGTAATTTCATAGGCTAATGAGTGGGAGGATTATTCTAACTCTCTGGGAGAAGGGGCAGGGATTTCCAGGAATTGGGCCACCACCCACTTTTTGACCTTTTATGGTCAGCCTCGAAATTGTCAAGGTGCTGGTGGGTGTGTCATTTATCATGTTAATGTATTATAATGAGCATATAATTAGGCTCAACGTCCACTAGAAGTCGAATCTTCATCCATCTTGAACCTGGTGGGTTCTAACCAGTTTATGTCATACCCTCAAGGGCTATGTCATGCTTTTAGAGTTTGTACCATGACCCCTTCCCTCCTGTTTCAGATTCAAGGCAATTCCAATAAAAATTTTTAAAATCCCAGGAAGTTATTTTGTAAATATCAACAAACTGATTCTAACATTTATATGGAGAGGCAAAAGACCCAGAAAAACCAACCTAATATTAAAGGAGAAAAATAAATTGGAAGACTAACACTATTTGATTTCAAGACTTACTATAAAGCTACAGTAATCAAGGCAGTGTGGCAAAAGAATAGACAAATAGGTCATGGAACAGAATAGAGAGCTCAGAAATGGACTCATACAAATTTAGTCAACTTGTCTTTGACAAATGAGCAAAGACAATTCAATAGAGCAAGGATAATCTTTTCAACAAATGGGTGCTGGAACAACTGGGCATCCACATACAAAAAAAAAGAAGTAAGGCCTTTACACCATCCACAAAAGTTACTCAAAATGGATCCAGATATAAATTAAAAACGCAAAACTAAAAAGTTCCTAGAAGATAACATAGGAAATTTAAATGACCTTATGCTTGGCTATGACTTTTTATATACAATACCAAAGGCACAATCAGTGAAAGAAAAAAATTGATAAATTGAACTTTATTAAAATGACAGAGTTATGTTACCGAGTCCAAGCTTGCTAAGCTCGCCTCATGACAGGCCAATAAATCGGAGATGAGGTGCTGAGGCAAGGAGTATGAGTTTATTCCGAAAGCCGGCAGACTGAGAAGATGGCAGAGTAAAGTTTCAAAATAACCATCTTATCAGAGTTTGGATGCCAGTTTTTTTTTATAGCACAGAGAGGGGGAGGAGATGAGGAAGTAAAGTAAAAAGGCCATAAGTTTTGCAAATATCACCTGGAATGGCCAGCCTCGGGGAGGGGATGTGTTAATTTCTTCTTTCTTGTAGCCATCCACTGGTGGACAAGGTCCGGATGTTTCCCTGAACAAAGGCACTTTGGTTTAACATTCAGGCAGAGGGGCAGGGCTCCCCGAGGCAGGCCATTATGTACAGACAGTATCCTTTTAGTGAACAAAAGCAGTGGAAAGCAAAGGTTAAAGTAAAAGAAACAGATCCAACATGGAGTCAGATTTGGTTCTTCCCTGTTACAGTTATAAATACCTTTACCTTCCTCCTGGACAATATAAGGGACTTGTAATATTAATCACTTTGTCTCATTTCAATTTCTATGACTTTTCTGGTATGCATGTGTAGGGGAGCAGGATTTGCCACCCTAAATTATGTCTCTTTGGCACTTTTTTTTTTTGGCCAGGCCGGGCCAGCATGCTAGTTCGATTCTAGTTTGCTCAGGATTCTAGTTCCCTGCCAGGGATCAAACCTGTGGAAGCATGGAGTCTTAGCCACTGGACCGCCAGGGAAGTCCCAGCATATTGTTTTAAGCTGGTTATTTTCTGAGAAACAGACAGGAGAAGGGCTCTGAAGACAAAGTAGGAGTTGCCTTCATGTAACAAACATTTCCATTTGTAAGGGAAATCTCCATTTGTGTCTCCCTGGAAGAGAAGGATGAGCAAATCTCTAGAAACTCTTATTGGGTGGAGATTTAAATGTGCATCACAATCACCCTTGTTTACTTTGCTATTCCTGGTAATCTCCCATAACTGACTCTTCCTACTCTCGACATCCTCTTTGGTCTTTTTTTTTTTTAATGGGATTTTTAAAAATTAATTTATTTTTGGCTGCATTTGGTATTTGTTGCTGTGCACAGGCTTCCTCTAGCTGCAGAAAGCGGGGGCTACTCTTCGTTGTGGTGGGCGGACTTCTCATTGCCATGGCTTCTCTTGTTGCGGAGCTCAGGCTTTAGGCACGTGGGCTTCAGTAGTTGTGTCACATGGGCTCAGTAGTTGTGGCTCGTGGGCTCTAGAGCGCAGGCTCAGTAGTTGTGGCACACGGGCTTCGTTGCTCCGTGGCATGTGGGATCTTCCTGGACCAGGGCTCAAACCCATGTCCCCTGCATTGGCAGGCAGATTCTTAACCACTGCACCACCAGGGAAGCCCTCCTCTTTTGTCTTTAGCTGAAGATGTTATTTAAGGTGAGGGTTTCAGCCATTTTGGTGAGTTACTCAATTTTTCTGGGTCTCTCCCACGTATACATGATACTAAGCCTTGTTTGATTTTCTCCTGTTAATCTGTCTCATGTCAATTTAATTCTCACATGAGTCAGAAGAACCTAAAAGAGTAAAGATAAATTTCTTCCTCCCTGACACATGGTAATCCCATCATTCTATCTCCACAAGGAAATATTATTCATGTTTCATACAGATAATGAATAGCTGTATTAATCACATACACTCCTCTCTCAGATCCTCATTCCTAGAAATACAGAGCTTTCGCCTGGTATCACTTTTCATTGTTCTTAAATACAATCTTTAGAACTGCATTCTCTGCAGATTAATTTTCCTTTTTTTTTTGGCTTGAAATAATCTTATTTCATAAACATGGAAAATTCTTGAAAGATGCTTTGACTCTGTATAGAAATCTAGGTTGGTAGTTGTTGTGGTCTGAACATGGGTTGGAAAAGAATTTCCAGACATAAGGCAGAATGTAAAGAAGACAGACTTTATTAGAGGGAAGGGTCGCTGCCAGAACAGGCCGACTTCCTAATAGTCTGGGAGAGTCGAGCCCAAACATGTGCTATTGATCAGTTTTTATAGCCAGAAAACAAAGGAATGGTCTGAGGTGAACATTTCGTTACTGATTGGTCGAGGCACATATACCTTCCTTCTATAGGGTGAGAGTGGGACAGGGCAGATGCCTTTCCTTATTTGGGACAGGTCCTGCTGCCCAGGTGGGCGTCACCCAGGTGGGCTCAGGAATTTTGTAACCATCACAACATGGTGGGGAGGGCGAGTAAGAGTCCGGTAGGGGGTGTAACGCTGACACTTTTTCAGGCAGGGTCGTCCTTTGTCCTTGGAGCACCAGAGTAGTAATTCCTTCAGTGGTTTGAATAGGTCCTTTCACTGTGTCCCGGAACCACAGCTGTGTATTGGGAATGAGAGATGACAGATAACTTATTTTGTTTATAATCTCCTGGCCTTAGGTTAGGTTGGGAGCGTAAATACTGAGATTGAACCAGTGACTAGATGGGGTTTGGGTTGTCATATAAAAGAGAGGCTGAGAGTATTGACTGGGTAGGAGTAGGAAATGGGTTAACAAATTGTTCTTGAAACTGGTTATATTCTCACCAATCCTTTTTTCTCTTTCTGTTCACCAAGCTTCCCTTACATTTAATTTGTACCATGTAAATGAGCTTGGGGTGTCGACTGAAAAAAATGCACCACTTAAAATTGAAGAATTATGTTATATTTGGGGCATTACCGAGGACTATAGCCCGGGAAGGCGGCCTCTCAGAGAGCTCTGAGGAACTGTTCAGAAGAGGTAATGGAGGAGCCAAGATAGACACAAATTTTTACTGAAAAAAAAAAATATATATATATAGTAGTCAAACATCAAAAGATTACTGCTAATCACAAAAAAAAGACAGCTTTTTTTTTAAAATTATTTATTTATTTGGCTGCACCAGGTCTTAGTTGCAGCACGCAGGATCTTTTAGAGGCGGCATGTGGGATCTAGTTCTCTGACCAGGGGTGGAACCCGGACCCCCTGCATTGGGAGCACAGAGCCTTAGCCACTGGACCACCAGTGAAGTCCCCAGACATCTTAAGTTAATGATTTCAGTGTCTTTTTATGCATGGGAAGATGCAAGTCTGGGCTCACTGAAATTATTCCTTAGCTATGCAGAAACTATGTGCTAGGCCCTGTTACCTACCTTGAGATATATAGTGTTATTTCTCCCTTTTTTTTTTTTTTTTTGCGGTATGCGGGCCTCTCACTGTTGTGGCCTCTCCCGTTGCGGAGCACAGGCTCCGGACGCGCAGGCTCAGCGGCCATGGCTCAAGGGTCCAGCCGCTCCGCGGCATGTGGGATCATTCCCGGACCGGGGCACGAACCCGTGTCCCCTGCATCGGCAGGTGGACTCTCAACCACTGCGTCATCAGGGAAGCCCTTATTTCCCCCGTTTTATTTACTGAATGTTAATGAGAGTCCCTTTTCCTTAAACTGGAGTCCCCCGGAAGGCTTGTTGACACACAGAAGGCTGGGTCCCACCCCCAGGATGATTTCTAAGTGTCTAGGTTTAGGTTATTGCCTGAGAACTTGCATTTTAAACAAATTCCCAGGTGATGCTGACGTTACGGGTTTGAGATGCACTGAATTAGAGCAACATTTAATCTTAGTACACAAAGAACCCGTAAATTAGATATTAGCTTCATTTTTCCATGTGAATTAGGGTCCTCGGGAGCCTGAGAGGTAAAGGGGCCAGCTACGCCCACACAGGTACCAGGGGGTCTCATATTACAGACCTCTGAGGGCGGTAGGGACTTGGCCCCAGAGGCCTGGGGACAGCCCCTTAAGGAGGTGCAGCTCGCGGTGCAGCTCGGCCGATGTCAACCAGCAAGGTCCGCTCTCCTGCCCCGCCTGCCTCCCTCCCCGCCTGCCTCCCTCCCGCCTCTCCCCCGCCGCCCCCGACCAGCCTGGCCGGATGCAGGACAGAAAACACGGTCTATTAGGCTGTGCCGGTGCGTCACCGGCTGGCGCTGGGCCAATGACAGCCCCGGGGAGTGTCGTTTCTTAGGGCCGAGGAGGTGGGGGCCGGAACTTCCTGCGTTTCAGCGCAGCAAGTCGTGTCCCCGGGCCGGTGCGCCCCGAGCCGTGGGCCCGGGGCTGGGCCAGTACCGCTCTTCCCAGTTGGTTTTCCGAAGCGGGAGGGGAAGGACAGGGAGGCCAGGACCCTCCTCCGCGCCTTTGAACTAGTCGTGAGCCCCTGGGACGCGGTGTCCGCCAGGGTCCCGCCGGGCCGCGCGCTCTCCGCGGCCCCAGCGGCGGCATCGGGCTCTGGGTGCCCTTGACCCCGGGGAGACTGAAGTGCCACCTCGCCCCGGGCAAGGCGAGGCGGTGCTAGGCTGAGCCCGCGACAGCCGCCTCGGTCGCCCGCCTCTTAGGGCCCCTGCGTCCACGGGCTGCGATGGCGGCGGCGGCGCTGATGGACCCGGCAAAGGTGAGTGGATGGGCTTCAGGCCCTCAGCTGCTCAGCCCCCCACCCTCACGTGCCCGGCGCCGGGGTATCAAAGATGGGCGATGCCCTACGACTTTACTTCTTTTTCATCTTTCTGCTTTTGAGTCCCGGGTCTCCGAGGGTTTGAGAGGGCGAGCGGTCCCTCCCAGCCTAGGGTCCTGAATCCAGGCCACGGATTATAGAGAGCAGTTCCCATTTCTAAACTCTAGTGGGATGAGGTGGGAAAGGGTTTCCTAGGCACGGGAACCAGCACGTGCAAATGCCTGATTGACCTGGGAGTGTTCAGAGAGCAGGTGGGCTGAAGTCAGCCCTGGAATGGCGGGGTGGGGAGCTGAGGCTCTCTACTGAGAGTGTTGGGAGCCACAGAAGGTTCAGAGCACAGGAGGGAGATGATCTGACTTCGGTCTTAGCAGGGCCCTATGGATGCTGAGTGGAAAATTGACTGCGGGCTGAGGGTGAAGGCGGGGAGAGCAAGGAGTAGGCTGTTGCAGTACTGCAGCCCACGTGACTAGGGCAGGTGGCTGGAGGCCGAAGGAGCGACTGGATTCTAGGTGTGTCTCTTAAGCTAGTCTGACCAGATTTTCTGATGTGGAGGCTGACAAAGGAAAGAGGTGACGTGATGGTTTTGGGTTTTAGCAGCTGGAAGGATGGATGAACCATCAACTGAGAAGGGGAAGTTGGCCGTAGGAGGAATTTTCAGTGGAAACAGAAGAAGTTAGGTTTTGGCCATGTTGAACTCTGAAGTTCCAGGGACCCCTGCGTGGAGTTGAAGGTTGAGGAGCCAGACACACAGTTATGGTGTTCTGGGGAGACTTAGTTTAGGTTATGAGACACCAAATATACAAAGGGACAATTGAAAGACTATATATAAAATAGAACTCTGGCCCACAACCTGCAGCAATCTGTCCAGGCAACCAACCCTCTTATCTACAATAAACAACCCAGGAAGCCATCCTGCTGAAAGTTAGACTCGCAGGAAGCCAGATTGCCATCTCTAGTGACAATCCAGAAAGTTAAACAATAACTTCTGTAACAATTGGCCCCCAAAGACCAGGGCTTAATAGCTGACAACTCCTCTAATTTTTGTTCCTACTTCCAACATAGGACCAACCAGGGAAAGCCAAATATGCACCCCTAACCAATCACATAGGACGCCCTGCGCCTAGTTAGCCTGCCCACAGCTTCCCCATGCCAACAGGGCATACCTGAAGCCTTCCCTTTTTTTCCACTTATAAAGCTTTCCCGCTCCTCTGCCTGCCTCTGAGTCTGTGCCAGAGCATAAGCGGTTGACTCTCCTTCTACAGCAAACTCAGAGTAATTAGCCTTTGCTGTTCTCATTTGGTTGGTCTTTATTTTCACAGTTAGAAACATCGAGGGACTTCCCTGGAAGTCCAGTGGTTAAGACTCCACGCTTCCACTGCAGGGGGCCCGGGTTTGATCCCTCGTCGGGGAACTAAGATCCCACAAGCCGTGCGACATGGCCAGAAAAAAAAAAAGAAAGAAAACAAAAAAAGAAACAACCAAGATGTGGCATCTGGTGTGTGGGCAAGGGTGTGTCGGATTTAGGAGGGTGAAACTTCAGGTCATGGTGGCAGTGATGTTAGGGGGAAGGGGGAGGGTGGGGCCTGAGAACTGAGAATGGGGTATCTTGCTGGCTTGTTTGGCATCATAAAGACAGATGAGGGAGAGTTAGTGTTCATGGTGGTGGTTGGGCAGGGGGCTGTGTGTAGGGAAAGGTGGGTCTGGCAGGTGGCCAAATTTTCCTGGGGGCATAGATATGAGAAGGGGGGCTGAGCCTTCATAGTACTGGAGGTCATTTTTCAGTGAGGCCTGGGCTGATGCTCATTCAGCCATCTTCGTTCTCACCAGGGCTTTGTGGACCCTTGAAGGGGCCCAGGGATTTTCAGTCAGGCTGGGGAATCAACTCAGGGGCAAAAGGGGCAAGATGAGAGAGCCGTTAGACCTTGGTGGGTAGGGGGTAGGAGGACCAGAGAGGTTGGCTTTTGAATGAGTGATTGATGAAGGGACAGAAGAAAAGGGCCAAGGGCATCTGATGTAGTCCTGGGTGGCTTGGATTGAAGCCAGGAACAGGGCCGAGTGGGGAGGCCTTCACATCAAGGGTGGATGTTGCCCTTGGCAGTGGGAGCCACAGAAGGTCTGGGGGCAGGATGGGATCATGGCTGTATTTGCCAAGAATTCTCCGGACTGCCAGGGAGGGGGCAGCTTCCTCCTCTACCCTTCCTTTGAGTTCTTGTGGCTGGACTAATAATAAAAGTAATATTAACAGGAGAAAAACAAATTTTAATGCACATGAAGGTCTCACAGAAATGCGACCTAAAAAGTGGCCACAGCAGGCAGCTTTTATACTTATTAGACAAGGAAACAATACATTTGTGAGGAACTGACTGGACAAAGAAACTTAGGTTTTGGGTGCCCAATTAGTGAAGAAGCTAAGCAAAGTTCGGGTTTCAGGTAGTAAATTAAAGAAGTAACAGGTTTTATTTACGTAGGTTTCTTGGCCCAAATTCCCTATCTTTGGCAATAAGGGTGTTCTTTTTTTTTTTTTTTTAATGTTTATTTATTTGGCTGCGCCGGGTCTTAGTTGCTGCATGCAGGCTCTTAGTTACTGCATGCAGGATCTAGTTCCCTGACCAGGGATGGAACCCGGGCCCCCTGCATGGGGAGCGCGGAGTCCTAACCACTGGACCGCCAGGGAAGTCCAAATAAGGATGTTTTTTATGTCCAGATGCAGGGCGTGCACTTTTTACGTGAGAAATTTATTTCCTGTTTTCAGGGAGACAGAAAGGAGGGTCGGAGTGTCCCTTGCGTTGGCTGTTTCCTCAGTAACTTTAATTCAAAACAATCAGTATGCCATTGAGAAACATTTAGGGGAGGCCTACTTCGGGCCTGACAGTTCCCTCCTCTGAATCGTCCTCTGTGGAGAGAGAGAATGGGTTAGTGGAGTCCTACAGTTCATTGAACCATTTTCTTAGTTCTGAGAACAGATTAGTTCAGTTAAACAGTTATACCTTATTTTAGGAGGCAGTGATGCAGGGGGAGCTCCCAAAGCTAGGCCTATGGTGCAAGCAATCAAGTATTTAATAGGAGACATTTCTAGGGAATCAAAAGAAAAACAAAGGTTAATGATCGGAGCAGATTATAAACCAGTTTATAGACCAGGATGCAGTCAGTCAAGAAGATTTCTAGATGTCAGGGTTGAAGCATCTTTTGCAGTTTGAAATGTCTCTGATGTCACCAGGTGTTCAGGGAAACTTTCTGAGTGGCTCATATAGTAAAAGGCACGAGGATAGTTTAAATATGAGCCGTGGTGGCAATTTCTCTGAAGTTTATCAAGTCGTTTAGCTTCAATTTGCAGGGCTTCAGGAAAAGGGCAATTTTAGTTCTCAATGATTCCAACTCAATGATTCCAAACTCAGTTTTAGTTCTCAGTGATTCCAACTCAGAAGGGTGAGAAAAAATTGGAAACATTAAAGAGTTGTAGCCAGATATTGGAGGAAACTAGAATAATTCAGGATCCAGTCCAGTTTTCAGGTAAATAACAAAGCCTCAATGAAAACTAATAGCACTAGAATCATATATACAAGTGTGCATTATAGTTTCTATTGAAACATAATTTTGTTCTCTAAAATCACTCTCATGTCTACCAAAGATAGCCAAATTAAGACGAATTTGTTTGCAGAGTAAGTCTAGATTCCATAAACTCGGCCTGATTATTTATACAGGTCCAGCAAGAATAGGGCTTAGCCATATAGGCTCTTCTGAATCTGCTTTGCTGGAACTTTTCATAAGGAATTTCCAGATTGAACTCTTAATAGCCTCTCGAGGCCAGGAAGCCACGTCAGACTTATCATCAGACTTGCCTGTAATACCTATAGAGTTGGGTGAATTCCTCTCTTGAGATCCCCCAAATATCCTGAGGTTCCTGTGCCTCTCAGAAGTGACCGTCCTTACTCACGTGGTAAGGCGCTGGGAACCCTGTTAGCAAGGTACCAGGATGCTTTTCCAAAGGATTTGATTGGCCCATAAAGTCAATTTTGGGAATTCCCCGGTGGTCCAGTGGTTAGGACTCCTCGCTTTCATTGCCTAGGGCGCGGGTTCAGTCCCTGGTCAGGGAACTAAGATCCCGCAAGCCGCACAGCCAAAAAGAAAAAATAATAATAATAATTTTAAAGTAAAGGCAATCTTAGTTCCTTCAAGCTGTCTGGTCATACCTGAGTCTACATGTGTCTCTCTCAAATATGACTTTCCAGTCAAAGCCTTGGCAAGATAACCAGTGTTTCTAATTGTGTCCTATTATGAAGAGAACAGATTCTTATTGAACTTATGCAAGTAACTATATTGCTAAGAAAATAATACTCACAGAGAGTTTCTGAATTCTGGAGAGATCAGGTAGGGGGAAAAAGATAAATGTTTCATTTTTGCTTACAAAGGTATAATTTACCAAATTGCCGTAAATCTTTTTAAAAAAACTTCCTTGTATTTGGAAAACAAAAGGTTAAAAAATCGGTAATATTTTAAACAAAAAGTCACAAAAATTATAATCATATTCATCAGTTCATTCAACCCCATGTAATTAATTCTTGTTCTGCCCTGAGTCCAGTTCTTCCGTTAGTTCTGTCAACTTTGCCTGATGATTGAGGATGAGAGCAACAGTGATACTTCCATGAAGTTTGTGAGGTTTTTTTTTAAGGCTCATATGATTTGCCCCGTAAGGTGGATGCCTTGATCACTGGAGATTGTGGAAGGTATACCCAAATGGAAAACACATTTTTAAAAACCGTTTCTTTGCCCTTGTGAGGGCATCAGCTTTGTAGCAAGGGAGAGCTTCAATCCATCCAGAAAACATACATGTAATAATAAAAACATTCTGATAACCCATACGTAGTGGCAGTTGAATGAAGTACAGCTGCAGGTGCTCAAAGAGTCCAGAGAGAAAATGTCTGAGGCTTCTGGGGACAAAAATTGTTTTTCCCCAGGGTTATGGACTTGACAGGTCAGACATTGCTGGTAGACTGCTTTTGCAATTTTATAGAAATCTTCCTGCCAATGTCTATTTAAATGCATCTTAAAGACACTATGTTGGGTGAAGGGATGCAAGAAAAAAAAAAAAATGAGGTTTGCCAGGGAGCTGGGAAGAACCAAGTAGCCATCTTAGGTTTCCCATAGCCCTGACTGTTCATTTAATTTACAGCTATTGTTTACCCATTTTAATTTCTCTTATTCAGAAGTAGACTGTTGCCATGGTACAGGACATCAGAATGGCAAAATCTGGCAATAAGGGGTCAGGTTTTTTGCAGAAGCAGAATGGATTTTATCTACATGTGCCACAGTCTTTACAGATTCTGTTGCTGCTGCCTTTGCATGACAGTCAGTGCATTTCCCTGGTACCGGGGTTCAATCCCTTTAGTATGAGTCTCCATTCTGATGACAGATAACATTTTATGCCAGGACATATATGACTTCAGAAATTTCACATAATTTCTGGAACACTTGGAATACATACCTATACAGACACAACATAAAGGAGACTTAACATGACTTCTTATGTGACAACAGTTTCCATATAATTTAACATATTAAATACACCTAATTAGCTTAATATCTTTTTATAAGGAGAGAGAATAAATCTTTGAGGGTATTTCAGAGGGCCCCTGAAATATCTCACGTCTCAATATTAGTTCTAAGTCAAAGAGTTTTCATTTAGAATTTGATTTGGGAGAAGTTTGTCAAAAATATCAAAAAATATTTGACTTGAATAGGTCGCTGTGAAGCAATGCTTCGTTATCCATTTAACCAAAGTAATAATTAAAGGCTTCTTAGGCAAATATAGAAGGCTATATAGTTCTGAGCAAAATTCAGGTCTTTTAATAGCAATAGGACTGGGTTTACTTACTGAATCAAAGACCTGATAAAGACATAGAACATAAGGAATTACTTTGACAAGACAGAAGATCTTTGTTTTTTTCTAGGCACATTACTTAAAGGTAAAGAAAAACCTTTCATAATCTCTTATTATCAAGAGCAGACCAATAGAAAACAAAAACAACCAAAAAAACTTTGTTCTTTTAACAGAGAGAAAAACAAATTCCAATTTTGTACCAGTTTACTTTGATATTAAAACTTATTTACATAATTAAATTCATTCTAATCTTGTTCAGCCATGACCACACATAAAATTCCTTTCCAAAGAATCCTTTTTAGTTTGTCCCTTGTTTTCTTTCCCATTTAGAACTAACCAGCTTTAGGACAAAATCACTTTCTTTTTCCTTAATAAAAATGTCTCCATACCTTTTCTTATCCCTTATTATATCTGCAGCTTTAACCACATATATTAATTGGAATCCTAATCCTTTGAAATTTTAATTTTTTAGTGAAAACAAAGAAGTAAACAATTGTGAACTTTATTAACATTTTGTGGTGTGACAAACATAAATACGTTTTATAATTTCTAGAAACATGCTATTTCATAGTACAATCTTTCAATAAAGCACAAGATATATTTACTAGAGCCAAACATACTTAGTTTCTCTGTATCAAGAGGCAACAAGTAGGTATAAACTTAGACTTGTTTAGAAACTAATGTTTCAGTACTTTATCGTATTTGGAAATGATTTAGACATCCAGTTAATTCCCATCGTTTAAGTTAACGTAGCAAAACTCTAAGGGTATAAATTACCAAACAGATTTAGGAAACTATTTAAATGGACATATCATAAAACAGTTATTGTCTAAAAGTTCACCTAAAAACTCATCACATTTATATCTGTTCAATTTATTTTTAACAATCAGATTACTCATGAAAATTTCATGAGACATTAAAGCAGTTAGTCATTATCTTGTTTGTTTGTTTGCTGACAAACTGCAAAAGAGACATTAGCCCGTTTGACTAGTACACCCAGGTAGAACAAAGGTTGTTTATCTACATTACATTTAATGCTAACTCTGAAGATATACCTGTATTAATTTAACCAACAAGTAGCTTTTATTTCCTAAAGATTATCTGAGGATATACCTTCAGGTAACTCTGAAGATATATCTGTATTAATTTAACCAACAAGTAGCTTTTATTTACTAAAGATTATGAGAAACGTTTGGGTTATTTTTTATTACATATTTGAGACTTTTTATATAAAAAAATTTAATTTTAAATTAAAATTAATTTAATTTAAATTTTAAATTAAAAAAAATTAATTTTGGCAGTGCCATCCAGAGGTAACATACACATATGGACATATAGATAAACGCAACCAGAGATCTCATAGTTCTTATTTTAAAACTTTAGTCATGAATCAGGTACAATAGAAAACTCACTAGTTTATCAGTAACAGTTGGAATGAATTAGATTATTTGCTTAGCTAGCTAGTCTTTTATTATTTGTGTAGAAGACTTTTAAGATCTGTATTTGCCCTTGACAAGCAATTCTAGGGAGGCTGTGACTTATTAGAGTTTGAGCAAGAAAGTCCTTTTAACAGTGGGTGTTTGAAAAAGCCTCTCTCTCTTTTTTCTTTTAATTTCAGGTTTTACTGATTGAATTAGTCCAGGCTCAGGCTCAGGCTCTGTGGGCTGTGTTTACATTCAAATACATGACGTAACTTGAAGGGACAGAGAAAGAAAATATGTTTTGGAGTATACTTGTCTATTATCATAGGTCTTAGGGTAATTATTATTAAATGTTTTTCTTAAGTACAGGACAAGTTTGCACCAATATCCTGATCTACTATAATATCTGCAAGCATTTCGAGAGGACTAGGTGAGACCTTGGGACGAGTAAAGTTCGATGGGCTTTGACTTGTTTCTAGAGTTGTACTCCTGGTTTTGTAGAGCTTCATAAGACAAGCTTTGTAAGACAAAGACAGTTGTTTCTATAAACTCTTAAATATTAGCCTCCAGCCCATTTATTTTCTGATTATTTGTAGGAGAGCCTGGGAAATTGCTGAGAAGATGGGGTGATTTTTAAGAAGGAGAATTTATGTTGGATTTTTGTTTTAAGTCTAATTTCTGTTTTTTTTATCTTAATAAGGGATTCTCTAAGACTAGTCATTATACCTTTTTTTTTCTTTTTATAGAGAATTTGGTCCTCCCATAAGTACCAGTATGACAGCTGTTTATTATGAGAGCTCTCAATTGTTTTTTCCTTTTAAATATAGCCAATTTAAAGGATCTATCATCTGGCCATTGACAAGTAGGATCTTATATTTTCACATAGTGACTGAAGCCAATAAGTGTTTTATTATGGCTTAACCAAAGATGTAAGAGGCATCTCACAAGAAGAGTATATAGCCCTCACAAGATCCAAAAAGCCCACTCCCAGAATTAGTCTAAGAAGGTAGAACCCCTTTGTTGCTACAGGTGGTGAGAATGGTGTAGGGAAAATGGTGTCTCCAGTGTCCCACAAAAATCTGGGGCGCCTCCAGCCATAGAACCGATAATTTATGGTATCTGGCAGGCACTACTGGAATGGGACTTTTCCAGCACTAACAACTAATGAAGGTTGTGATGACAGAGACCCGTTATGGACTGGGACGCCTTATGACAAAGTCCCCTGAGAGCTGGTATGGCTGGACAAAGAGCTTGGCCGCCAGATGCACCCCAGTAAATGCACCTTCTGGATGGTAGAGACCAGAGACAGTATTCTCACTGGACACAAAGCCAAGCTCTGAGGACATAAAACAAGATGGAAGGAAAAAACCTCATCTTTTTTTTTTTTTTTTTTTTTTTTTTTTAAAAGAGCCCAGAGCAGGACTTCCCTGGTGGCGCAGTGGTTAAGAATCCGCCTACCAATGTAGGGGACAAGGGTTTGATTCCTGGTCCAGGAAGATCCCACATGCCACGGAGCAACTAAGCCCGTGCGCCACAACTACTGAAGCCTGTGCACCTAGAGCCCATGCCAAGAGAAGCCACCACACACAGCAACAAAGACCCAACGCAGCAAAAAATAAGAACCCAGAGCAAAGTTTGTCTAAACAGATGCCGGTCTGGTGAGAACTGCTAATTCACCAGTGTGTGAGGCTGGCTTGAACAGCAGGCTCATAGGGCCTATGCCTGTGTTCTGCCCTCTGGTTCTTCCTCGTGACAAACAACACGACAGACAGAGACAGAGAAAAACAGTGACCATCTCTGGGAGGTGAAGGATGAGGATTCCCAAGTCACTAATACAAGGAACTAACCAGCTCCACAAATATTTTCTCCTGCTAATCTAAATTTAGAGACAGAGAAAGGGGAGTCTCACCACTTTCCCTCCCACCAGAACTTGCAGGCAGAGACCCGGGAGGCCGACTGGCTAAGAAATCTTACTACCTTCTGCAGTCTTTGTCAGATGCCCCCGGATCTACAGCATCCTCAGGGCGGGGAGCAGGCTCCAGCCAGCCACCTGCCTGGCTCACCAACTGTCAGGAAGAGGGAAATTTCCCCCTCTACCCCTCTTTTGAGATTTTGTGGCTGGACTAATAATCAGATTGACACAAGACAGATTAATAGGTGAAAAGGAAACAAATTTTAATTCCTGCTCATGGAGGTCTCATAGAAATGGGACCTAAGAAGTGGCCAAAGCAGGCAGCTTTTATACTTTTTGGACAAAAAAACAATAAATTTGTGAGGAATTGACTAGACAAAGAAACTTAGGTTTTGGGTACCCAATTAGTGAAAAATCTAAACAGAGTTTGGGCTTCAGGTAGTAAATTAAAGAAGTAACAAAGTTTGTTTATATAGGCTTCTTGTCCCCAAAATCCCTATCTTTGGTGATAAGGGTGTCTTTCTACCTCCAGATTGAGGTAGAAAGACACCCTTTTACATGAGACATTCATTTACTTTTACATGAGAGATTCATTTCTTGCTTTCAGGGAGACAGAAAGGAGTGTCCCCCTTGTGCTGGCCGTTTCTTAAGTAAATTTAATTCAAAATAATCAATATGACATTGAGGCACATTTTGGGGTGGCCTACCCTGAGCCCCAGCAATACCATGTAAAGAGTGACAGCGCATGGAGATGGCTATGATGTGGGCTGGGATGGGGAGGGGGTACAGCAACAATGAGGATGCAGTGGTGAGGTCCAGGGTTTGAGGAAATGTACAGTCCAAAGAGTGATATGCATGTGGGGAGGGCATGTGAGCTGTTGCCCCCAGGGCCCTGGTACTGGGGATTATGGGCCCATGTTTGTTTGTATCTGTAAGGCATGACATCGGCGACACTAGGGGCCCTGCACTTCAGGCCCAGAGCATTGCTGGCATTGCTGTGGGCTGAAAAAGCAGTCATAGAAGGCATGGAACCAGGGCCTGGGATCTCCTCTGAGTTGGGAAGCTGGGGAGGAGGGTGAACAGGGGATAGACAGGGAGTCCTGAGGAGAGAAGCTGATCATGGAATGAACTGTCCCCATCATGGCAGGACTGTGTGACCTTTGAGGACGTGACCATTTACTTCTCCCAGGAGGAGTGGGGACTCCTTGATGAGGCTCAGAGACTCCTGTACTGCGATGTGATGCTGGAGAACTTTGCACTGATAGCCTCACTGGGTAAGGCTTTCACACCCACCCAGGTGTCCTCAGCTCATCTCTGCCCATCCTCTTTTCCCAAGAAGAGGCTGTTTCCGTCCCACAGCCGGACCGTGGGCACTGCTTCCTCCCCCCCCCCACCTTTTTTAAAAAAATTAATTATTTTATTTATTTATTTTTGGCTGCGTTGGGTCTTCATTGCTGTGTGCGGGCTTTCTCTAGTTGCAGTGAGTGGAGGTTACTCTTCATTGAGGTATGCAGGCTTCTCCTTGCAGTAGCTTCTCTTGTTGAGGAGCACGGGCTCTAGGCACGCAGGCTTCCATAGTTGTGGCACGTGGGCTCAGTCGTTGTGGCTCACAGGCTCTAGAGCGCAGGCTCAGTTGTTGTGGCGCACTGGCTTAGTTGCTCCGTGGCATGTGGGATCTTCCCGGACCAGGGCTCAAACCCATGTCCCCTGCATTGGCAGGCGGATTCTTAACCACTGCACCACCAGGGAAGTCCCCCTTCTCCCCTTTCTGGTATATGTGCGGTGGGTTCCAGAGCTCAGCTGTGTGCAGGGTCCCACGCTCTCCCCAAGCAGCCCCAATACCTGCTGCCCTGAAGCCTTGTGGGGAAGGGTCCCAGAAGGAAGACCAGTGGATCCCATCTGACTCAGCCACTGCCTGCCTGGGTGATCGTCCAGATCTATGACAGTTCTGTTCTGCTCTTTTCCTTTAAAACTAATATTTCCTAAGGCCTGACTGCCAGGAATTCTAGGCACTGGTGCTTACTATTTGCTATGACCACTGAGATGTTCCTGCTAGACCTCCCTTGTGTGTTCCTTTTGTAATATTTTGTTTTCTTTCCTGTGGTCTGTTGTGGGGTAGTTCACCAGGGCAAGTGCTGGCCCCTTACCTGTCCTGTCTTTCCCTTAGGACTTACATCTTTCAGGTCTCATGTAGTTGCCCAGCTGGAGATGGGGGCAGAGCCCTGGGTGCCTGACCGAGTGGACATGACGTCAGCCATGGCAAGAGGGGCATATAGAGGGCCTGGCTCAGGTAAGTGAGAGATGGGGGACCATGTGACATCACTACTGTCTTCAGATCATACCTGCCACTTTTCTCGTGTTCATCGTTGTTTTGGTGCCAAAGCCTTATATCTCTTCTACCTTTCCTTTCCTGTTCTTGACACATTGCCTACTTGTCATTTCTGCTTTGACTTGGGGCCCCTGGCTGTGTCCCTCACTGTTTCCACAGCTCCCTCTGCAGCACTCTCCAATGTGGACCTGCACTTAATATGTCATGTGATGTACACATTTCCTATTATAGTCCTTGAACACCAGCTAGCCAGTTGCAATCAGATTTTCCCAGGCCTGAACACATCCTTCTGCACAGTCCTCATGGGTTACCAGCAGCCAGGGCTCCCCTGAAAAGCCTTTGTAGAGAAGTGAGGAGGAGACTTGCCTTTCCACCTGATACTGTGCACATCTTTGTGTCCTTGCTCATGGTAAGGCCTCCCCTATTTCGTGACCTTACCAGGCACAGCACATTAGAGAAGACCATTCCTTATCCTGACCTCAGGCCTTTCATCTTGCCAGTAATCCCATGGACTCATTCCTGGATCAGACTTGCATTTGTGATTGGGTTGTCACCAGCATTTTTCTACTTTCAGATTTTTGCCATGGAACAGAGGGTGAGGAGTCACCTGCTGAGCTTAGTGTTTCTGTAGAAGTGTCACAGGACATGAATCCCAAGGTGGTTCCATCCACCCAGAAAGGCTACCCCTGTGACCTGTGTGGCCTACACCTGAAAGACATTGTGCACCCAGCTGAACACCAGGCAACACATCCCTGGCAGAAACCACATGTGTGTGAGGCATACAGGAGAGAGTTCAAGTTCAATGGCAACCTTCACCAACCACAGATGCAGCAGAACGTGGACAAGCCTATCTCAAGGAACGAAGGCAGCGCCTCGCTTGTGAAGAGCTGCAGAGATGACACATCAAAGAAACCTTTCACACTGAGGGAGGGTGGGAAGGCCTTTGTGTCCAGATGTGGTCAGCACCAGGTCACTCCCCGTGTAGTGGAGCCACACCACAGCTCCGAAGGCGTGGTGGATTTTCCCACTATGCAATGCCGTAAGAAGTGCATTGAATTTCAGAACGCTCTCAGTGACAAATCCTCACTTGTTCAGCAGAGGACCCACACTGGAGAAAGGCCTTATGAGTGCAGCAAATGTGGGATATTCTTCAGCTACGCCGCTGGCCTCTTTCAACACCAGAGAGATCACAATCGAGGAAAGCCTTATGAGTGTGGTGAATGTGGGACATTCTTTAGCCAGCAGTCCAGTCTCATCAAACATCAGAGAGTTCACACTGGTGAAAGCCCTCATGTGTGCAGCGAATGCGGGAAATTCTTTAGCCGAAGCTCCAATCTTATTCAACATAAGAGGGTACACACTGGAGAAAAGCCTTATGAGTGCAGTGAATGTGGGAAATTCTTTAGCCAACGTTCCAACCTCATTCATCATAAGAGGGTTCATACAGGTAAAAGTGCTCATGAGTGCAGCGAGTGTGGGAAATCCTTCAACTGCAACTCCAGCCTAATTAAACATTGGAGAGTTCACACTGGAGAAAAACCTTATAAGTGCAATGAATGTGGAAAATTCTTTAGCCACTTTGATGGACTTGTTCAACATCAGATAGTTCACACTGGTGAACGACCCTATGGGTGCAGCGTTTGTGGGAAAGCCTTCAGCCGAAGCTCCGACCTCATGAAACATCAGCGAGTTCACACTGGTGAACGGCCTTATGAGTGCAGTGAATGTGGGAAACTGTTTAGCCAAAGCTCCAGCCTCAATAGCCATCGGAGACTTCACACTGGTGAACGGCCTTATCAGTGCCCTGAATGCGGGAAATTCTTTAGCCAACGCTCCAGCTTCAATAACCATCGGAGACTTCACACTGGTGAGCGGCCTTATGAGTGCCTTGAATGTGGGAAAACCTTCAGACAAAGTTCTAATCTGAGGCAGCACCAGAAAGTTCACAAACCAGATAAGCCATATAAGTGCAATGAATGTGAAAAGGCTTTCAGCCAAAGGTCTACCCTCATCCGGCATCAGAAAATTCACACCAGAGAAAGGCGTTCAGAGAATGTGCACCCTCCTTCTGCACGACAGCACCCACTAGAGATTAACTCTGAGAGTGGTCTTTATGAGGGAGCTGTCAGCCAGAAGTTGAACCTTGTTCATCCAAATATCTATGCTGGAGAGATTCCCAATGGATGCTAGATATATTGGAAGCTTTCTGGAGCAGGGTTGCATTTTCTGACCACAAACTTTACCAGAGTTTTTCTCACTGCTAATGTCTGTGGTAGAAGTCATCTCAGTTCTACCCACTGGCAGGTCTCCAGAGTGTGCATCAGCCACTTTCCTGTGCTCACAAAAGACAGGCCTCTGTTTCCTCGCTCCAGGAGGGAATCATGAGTAGCCTGAGGCCATGGGAAGATGTCATTCCCTCCCCCTGTGACTGGTTTAGCTGTGGACATGACCCATCTTTGGCCATGAAGACCTGAGCTGGGTCCTACTGGCAGCTTGCAGAGGTTTCCCTTTTTCAAGGACATTTGTTTATCTTGTATGATGCTCATGATGGATTCATCCAGCTTCCACCTTACCCATCTTAACAACTATTTACTTTACATTGCTCTGGTTTGGGTGATAAGAGCCTTATTGATAAAGCCACCTTTAATCTTCTGTGTTCTGATAACTGTGGAGTGGGTTGAGAACAGAATTAAGGTCTACCAAACCAAAGGGGGTCTCCAAATTTATTGCCTCAGGGAAGAGCAGGATGGCAGAGCGCAGTTTTCAGTCCAGATTTGGCCTCGTTTGTGTTGCTACCCAAGGCATCCTAGGGAAGCTTGTAGGGCTTTGTGGGCCTAATGTTGTGGTCTGAATGGCATGAATTTTTGTGAATCAGAGATTACTCTGAGGAAGGGGAGGTTGTGCAACCTCCAGTGCATCTGGAAGCAGCCTGAGTTGGGCCCCTTGTTTACTGGGGATGCCTCCTATTCCTTAGCACTGTTGAGTAGACACTGTTTACCTGGCCCCTGCCAAGGAGTTATATGCCCTTGATGTCTAATGTTCCAGTATATGTCACCTACTGTAAGACTTACTGGGTCCAGTTGGCAAACAAGAGGGAATGTACCTGTTCTAAAAGTGCATCCACAAATGTTCCCTTAAATGTGACTGTGCAGGATTCAGGATTTGCAGAAGTTCTCAGGACCTCCAGACCTCTGTCCTTATGACTAAGGTCACCGGCAAAGCAAATTATCTAAAGGTTTTGTGGAATACTGCAGGCTCTCTGCATTATTCATGTCAAAGCCATTGCTGGGTTGGGAGGAAAATGGGGACTAAGAGAAGGTAGATCCTGTACGCCAGGGATGAGGCATTTGTGACGTAGCCAGCCATCTCTGCTGCCAACACATGAGGAGAGAGGTAGTAGAATCAATATGGGGTTGCCAAATCTTCTAGTTTTCCAAAATGAGTAGGAGATCAGATTTTTATGTGCAACAATTTCTTTTAATGCTTTGTTGAGATATAATTTTCATGGAATAATTGGCTGTGTGTATTTAATGTGTACACTTTGATAAGTTTTAAAATATGTATACACTCAGGGAACCAACACCACAATTATGATAATGAACTTATCTATCACCCACAAAGCTACCTCATGCCCCTTTACTATCCCTCCTTGCCTTCCCCAGGGAACCATTACCTACATCCCAAGGAAACCATTGATTTACCTTTTTTTCCACTATAGATGTTTGCCTTTCCTAGAATTTTATACGATGGGAATCATAAAGTATTTGTACTCTATTTTTGGTCTGTTTTCTTTCATATAGCATAATCATCTTGAGAATCATCCATTCCGTGTGTATGAGTAGTTCATTCCTTTTACTGCTGAGTAGTGCTCTGTTGAATGAATACCACAGTTTTTATGCTTTTTTTTTAATTAAAAAATATCTCATAAAATACACAACATAAAATGTACTGTCTTAACCATTGTTAGGTGCACGGTTCAGCAGTATTAAGTACAGTCATATTGTGCAACTATCACCATTATTCATCTCCAGAGTTCTTTACATTTTGCAAAACTGAAACTATACCCATTAAACAATAACTCCCTATTTCCCCCTTCCCCAAGCCCCTGAAAACCAATATTCTACTCTCCGTAATGGAATTTGACTACTCTAGTTATCTCATATAAATGGAGCTATATATTGTTTTTTTGTGACTGGCTTATTTCACTTAGCATAATGTCCTTAAGTTTCATCCATGTTATAACATGTGTCAGAATTATATTACTTTTTAAGCTGAATAATATGCCATTGTATGTACATGTCATATTTTGCTTATTCATTCATCCCTCAATGGATACTTGATTTATTTCCACCTTTTGGTTATTGTAACTAATGCTGCTGTGAACTTGGGTGTACGAATCTCTCTTTGAAACCCTGCTTTCTATTCTTTTGGGTATATACCTGAAAGTGGAATTACTGGATCATATAGTAATTATATTTTTAATTTTTTGAGGAAAAAAAATTGTGTTGTGTTTCCCACAGTGGCTATACCATTTTACATTTTCAGCAAGTGTTCTACTTTTTCCACATCGTCACTAACACTTGTTTTTTCTGTTTTTTGTTTGTTTGTTTTGGATAGTATCTATCTTGATGAGTATGAAGTGGTATCTTGTTTTGATTTGTATTTCTGTAATGATTCATGATGATAACTATTGTTTCATGTGCTTACTAGTCATTTGTATATCTTCTTTAGGAAAATGTCTATTCAGGTCCTTTCTCCATTTTTGAATTGGATTGTTTGTGTTTTGATGTTGCTGAGTTTTAGAAATTCTATATACTGGATATTAATCTCTTATTAGATTTGTGATTTGCAGATAATTTCTCCAATTCTGTGGGTTGCCTTTTTACTATGTTGATAGTGTGTCCTTTGATACACAAAAGTTTGAAATTTTCATGAGGTCCAAGTTGTCTTTTTTCTTTTGTTGCCTGTGCCTTTGGTATCATATCCAGAAAATCATTGCCAAATCCAATGTTATGAAATTTTCCAGTGTTTTCTCCTAAGAGTTTTATAGTTTTGGGTCTTACATTCAGGTCTTTGATCTATTTTGCGTTAATTTTTGTGAAAGGTGTTAGGTAAGGGTCCAGCTTCATTCTTTTGCAGGTGGATATTCAGTTTTCCCATGGATTGATTTTGTCAAAAATTATTTGACCGTATATGGGAGGGTTTATTTCTGGACTCTATTCTATTCCATTTATCTATACTTTTTTCTTTATGTCAATACCTCACTATTTACATTAATGTGGCTTTGTAGTAAGTTTTGAAATTGGAAAATGTGAGTCCTGCAATATTGATCTTCTTTATCAAGATTGTTTTAGCTATTCAGGGTCCCTTGAGAATCCATATGAATTTTAGCATAGATTTTTGTTTCTGCAAAAAAAAAAATTACTTGGATTTTGGTAGGGATTGCATGAAATCTTTAGATTGCTTTGGGTAGAATTGACATCTTAACAACATTCAGTCATCTAATCCATGAATGTGGGATATGTTTCCTTTTATTTATCTTCTTTAATTTTTTTCAGTAATGTTTTATGGTTTTAAAATAAAGTTTTTACCTCCTTGGTTAAGTTACTTCTTAAGTGTTTTACTTGGTTTCATAATTTTCTACTCAGATTGTTCATTGTTCGTATATAGAAATGCAACTGATTTTTCTGTGTTGGTTTTGTATCCTACTTCGTTGAATTAATTTATTAGTTCTAATAATAATTTTGTGGCGTCTTGAGGGTTTTTTAGATTTAAGATTATTTCATCTGTGAACAAAGATAATTTTACTTATTCTTCTCCAATTTGGATGCCTTTTATTTCTTTTTCTTGCCTAATTGCTCTGGCTAGAACTTCCAGTACTATGTGAAATAGAAATGGTGAGAGTGGGCATTCTTTCCTTACTCCTGATTGAAAAGCTGTTAGTTCTTCACCATTGAATATGATATTAGCTGTGGGTTTTTTATACATGGCTTTTATTATGTTGAGGTAGTTTCCTTCTATTCCTAATTTGTTGAGTGTTTTTATTGTGAAAGAGTGTTGAATTTTGTCAGATGCTTTTTCTGCAGCAATTGAGATGATCAAGTTGTTTTCTCCCTTTATCCTGTTAATGTGGTGTTAGATGATTTTCATATGTTGAATGATCCTTGCATTCCAGGAATAAATCCCACTTGAACACGGTGTTTAGTCCTTTTAGTATGCTGCTGAATTCTGTCTGCTAGTATTTTGCTAAGGATATTTGCATCAGTATTCATAAGGGATATAGGTCTATACTTTTCTTGTATCTTTTTCTGGCGTTGATATCAAGGGAAATGAATTAATGTGTTATCCTTTAAGTTTTTGGAAAATTTTTGACAAGGATTAATGTTAATTCTTCCTTAAATGTTTGGTAAAATTCACCAATAAAGCTTTCAGGTCCATAGCTTTGTTGTTGGGAGGTTTTTGATCACTCATTCAAATGAATGAATTCATTGAATCCTCTCATTCATTTTGCTTAGTAGTTACAGTTTTATTCAGATATTCTCTTTCTTCATGGCTCTGTCCTGAAAGATTTTGTGTTTCCAGGAATTTGTCTATTTCATCTAAGTTATCCACTTTTTTTCATACACTTGTTCATAGTACTTTTGTAATCCTTTTTATTTCTGTAGAATCAGTTGTAATGTTTGCACTTCTATTTTTGTTTTTAGTAATTTATGCCTTCTTTAGTCATTCTAGCTAAAGGTTTGTCAATTTTGTTAATCTTTTTTGAAGAACCATCTTCTGGACTCGTTGACTTTTCTCTATTGTTTTTCTAGGTGTGCTGTGCGTTTTGTTTTCTTTCATCTCTGATTATTTTCTAACATTCTCTGTGATTTCTTCTTTGTTCCATTGATTGTTTAAGGGTATGTTGTTTAATTTCCACAAATTTGTGAATTTTTCAGTTTGCCTTTTATTATCAATTTCTATCTTCATCTGGTTGAGGTTGGAGAAGATACTTTGTGTAATATCTATCTTTTAAAATCAATTAAGCCTTAATTTGTGGCATAACATGGTCTATTATGGAGATGTCCCATGCACACTTGAGAAGAATGTGTTTTCTGCTGTTGTCAAGTACAGTATTACATACATTTCTATCAGATCTAATTGATTTATTGTGTTGTCAAGTCTTCTGTTTCCTTATTGATTTTTTTTTGTCTGGTTGTTCAATACATTATTGAGAGTAGAGTATTAAAGTCTCCAACTATTACTGTAGAACTGTCTATTTACTCTTTTAATTTAACTGTCAGTTTTTGCTTCATATAATTTCTTGGTCTGTTATTAGGTGCATAAATGTTTATAATTATTATATCTTCTTGCTGCGTAGGACCTTTTATTGCTATATGAAATATCTTTTGGCTCTTGTAACTTTTCTTTTTTAAATAAAGTCTATCTTGTCTGCTATTAGTATAGCCAACCTCACTTTCTTTAGCTATTTGCATGGAATATGTTTTTCCATCCTTTCACTCTCAACCTACTTGTGTCTTTGGATCTAAAGTTAGTCTCTGTAGTCAGCATATAGTTGGGTCATTTTTATTTTTATTTTTTTTAATTAATTTATTTTTGGCTGTGTTGGGTCTTTGTTGCTGTGCACAGGGTTCCTCTAGTTGCAGTGAGTGGGGGCTACTCTTCGTTGTGTTGCAGGGGCTTCTCATTGCAGTGGCTTCTCTTGTCACCAAGCATGGGCTCTAGGCACGTGCACTTCAGTAGTTGTGGGTCACAGGCTCAGTAGTTGTGGCTCACGGGCTCTAGAGCTAAGGCTCTGTAGTTGTGGTGTACGGGCTTAGTTGCTCCGCCTCATGTGGGATCTTCCCGGACCAGGGCTTGAACCCATGTCCCCTGCATTGGCAGGCAGATTCTTAACCACTGCACCACCAGTAAAGCCCTAGTTGGGTCATTTTTTAAAAATCCATTCTGTCGATCTCTGTCTTTGATTGGAGAATTTAATCCATTTACATTTAAAGTAATTACTGATAAGAAAGGATTTACTTCTGTCATTTGCTATTTGTTTTCTTTATGCCTTATAGCTTTTTTTGTCCCCTATTTCCTGTATTACTGTCTTCTTCTGTTTTTGATTTTTTAACGTGAATATTTTAATTCCCTTCCCATTTCCTTTTGTGTATATTCTGTAGCTATCTTCTTTGTAGTTATCATGTGGTTACCATCCTAAAATTATAACACTATAATTTGAATTTATACCAGCCTAGCTTCAATAACATACAAAAACTGCTCCTATACAGTTCCATCTCCAACCCTTTCAGTTATTGATGTCACAAAATTACATCTTTATATACTGTATATCCAAAAACAAAGAATAATTGTTTTTTAATGCATTAGTTTCTCAAATAATGTAGAAATGAAAAAATGGAGTTATAAAGTTACAATAATAGTAGTTTTAAAAAATGCCCAACGTATGTACCTTTACAAGAGATCTTTATCCCTTCATACAGCTTTGAGTTAGTCTAATGTCCTTTTATTTCAACGTGAAGGACTCCTTTCAGCATTTCTTGCTGGGCAGGTCTGGTGGTAACAAACTCCCTTAGATTTTGTTTATCTGGGAATTTCTTAATTCTTCCCTCCCATTTGAAAGACAATTTTGCCAGATATAGGATTCTTGTTTAACAGACTTTTTCCTTCAGCACTTTGAACATAACATACCCATTGCCTTCTGGCTTCCAAGGCTTCTGGTGAAAAGTCTGTGGGTAATTTTATTGAGTATCTTTTGAATGTGCCAAGTCACTTCTCCCTCATTTCTTTAAAGATTTTTTGTCTCTGTGTTTTGACAGTTTGATTGTGATGTGCTTTGATTTGGGTCTCTGAGTTCATTCTTGGAGTTCATTGAGCCTCTGGGATGTTTATATTCATATCTTTCATCAAATTTGGGAAGTCTTCAGTCATCAATTCTTCAAGCTATCTCTCTTCCCCTTTCTTCTTCTTCTGGCACTCTTTGGTGATATTTTCATTTCCATTTCCATGTCTTTAGTTCTTTGATTATCTACAAGACAGTTGTTTTAAAGTCTTTGTCTAGTAGATCTGCCATCAGGTCTTTTTAAGAGACAGTTCCTGGTGATTTCTTTTTTTTCCCCCTTGAATGGGCTGTGCTTTCCTGTTTCTTTGTATGGCTTGTAATTTTTTGTTGAACACTAGACATTTGAATCTAATTGGTAACTTTGGAAATCAGATTTTTCACCTT